TCTGAAGTGGTGTAGGGTTTCCTGCCTAAACAGGGGGTTGGACTAGAAGACCTTCAAGGTCCCTTCCAACTCTGTTATTCTGTTCTATTCTATTTAAGCAAAAAATGGAGTAAAAATAATGATTTTAAAAAAAATATGCAAGAAACCAGAAGCTTTGCAAGTTGTTTGCTTCTGCATTTACAATAGAGGAGGTTTTTCACTTAGCAATGCCAGTTGGGACTAGCAACACGATATATTGAGATGCACTTTCAATAACCAGCATTTGAATTGCATTCCTAAGTTTCATACTCACCTTGGGGAAATTTTTCAAGTTTTCCTACCCTGACAGCTTCCAAAACTGAACGGCCTTTCCACAAGGCAGCTTCTATATTTATTTATTTTTTTAAAAAGAAGAAGAAGAATGGAATAAAAGAAAATTCAACATTAATCTAAGCCAGCGCCAGTATCCCAAACGTGCAGATCCCAAGCTGAACGTCCTTAAATCCCCAAAAAAATCATGACCGGAAAACTGTTTTTCCCCTTCTGTGCACCTTACTTCATTTAGATAAACAATGGCAATTAAGCGGTACCCAAAAAAAGCCCCAGTCCTTTTTCTCCTAATTAAGGTGATTAATCAGCTAATTAAGAAACAGCTTAAAGGGCTAATTCATTAAAAAAAATTACCTTGGCAGCATAAGCGGTCTTCACTGATTCCCACTGCCCAGACTCTTGTTGATTACATATGTGGTGTAGGAATAAAGAATGATAACTCACATGTGTGAGGACAAATAGATCAGAAGGAGACCAAGAGCAAAGCTGAATTCAGACACAAGGCACTCCGTTCCTCGTGGTTAAGGTCGGTGTGATTTGAGGCATGCAAGACTAACTTCATAGACGAATGAGAACATTGGAAACCACTTCTGGGCTTTGTGCTTGAGGTGGGGACAAAATGAAACATTGACTTTGGATTCTGCTGATGAGATTGGTTGTTGTTACAGGAATGGCAGGTATATATTATGATGTGAAAAGAAAAATAAGACAAACTACATAAACGAATGAGAACATTGGAAACCACTTCTGGACTTTGTGCTTGGGGTAGGGGGGAAATGAAATGTTGACTTTGGATCCTGCTGATGTGATTGGTTGTTGTTGCAGGAATGGCTAGTATATATTATTATGTGGAAACCGAAACAAGACAAACTTCATAGACAAATGAGAACATTGGAAACCACTTCTGGACTTTGTGCTTGAGGTGGGGAAAAAATGAAACATTGACTTTGGATTTTGCTGATGAGATTGGTTGTTGTTACAGGAATGGCTAGTATATATTATTATGTGGAAACCGAAACAAGACAAACTTCATAGACAAATGAGAACATTGGAAACCACTTCTGGACTTTGTGCTTGAGGTGGGGAAAAAATGAAACATTGACTTTGGATTTTGCTGATGAGATTGGCTGTTGTTACAGGAATGGCTAGTATATATTATTATGTGAAAACAAAAACAAGACAAACTACATAGACAAATGAGAACATTGGAAACCACATCGGGGCTTTGTGCTTGAGGTGGGGACAAAATGAAACATTGACTTTGGATTTTGCTGATGAGATTGGCTGTTGTTACAGGAATGGCTAGTATATATTATTATGTGAAAACNGTGTGTGTGTGTGTGTGTATTTGACATGTTTGTTAATAAAAAAAAAGAATCTGATTGCTAATAACGCTAATCATCATCTGAGTCTTCGGCGAGTCGTAATCTTTTTGGCCAGGAGAGCATCAAATAATGGCAAAGCACGATTAAAATGTGACACCTCTGTAGGTGTCTGGTACAAATGCTTTCCTGTTTAGTACACTGCCAGCTAGGGTGGCCTAATAAGACCAGCTCTACCTGACGGGCTATGTCAAGTCCATGCTGTCATATGACAACCATCATACCTGGAAGCTCCAGGGCAAAAAGGCTGCTACCGGAGAAACCACACTGAACTAACTCCCTCCGGATCCCGGATTTCCAAGAAGAGGAGACGTTATCCGAAGCAATCTGAAGCAATTCCTGGGAAACCGAAGCTGAAGTCAAAAGCTAGAACCAGCGTATACAGGTCCTAAAAATCGATGGGATGGGCCCCGTTTTTGAGTGCTGCATTTGGAATCTTGGAGCTAAGCACTCCGAGGTAAAGAAGGGACGTGGTGGCTTGGGGGCTAAGATGCTGAGCTCATCGATCAAAAAGGTTGGCGGTTCGGTGGTTCGAATCCCCAGTGCCTGTAACCGAGTGAGCTCCTGTGACTTGCCCCAGATTCTGCCAACCTAGCCGTTGGAAATCACATTAAAAACACAAATAGAAATATAGGAACCACCTTTGGTAGGAAGGGAACAGCATTCCGTGCGCCTTCGGCATTGAGTCATGCCGGCCACATGACCACAGACAGGGCTGGCTCTTCGGCTTTGAAACGGAGATGATCACCGCCCCCTAGAGTCAGGAACGACTAGGACATATGCGCAAGGGGAACCTTTACCTTTACCCTATACAATGAATTTAGCTCCATAACTCATCTTCTCTGGACCGCTGTTGAAGTAACGGAGTAGGAACCGTTGAGCAATGATAAGGTGGGAGGAACTGGTCCTGGACCATTTCTGCTTCTGCATCAAGGGGAAGAACACAGCTTCGTGGAGATGTCTTTGGATCATTCCACGTCTTCTTTCTAGAACAAGTGCATTCCTACGGAAATATATTCTAACATTAAGATGATGTGTGTAAAGATTTGTTTTAAACCCTGCAATCCAGAAGGGGGCACTAGCAAGTCATCCCCAGGGCAGAGGAACCCTGAGGCTCTACAACCCTTTTGGGATTTAGACAAAGTCTTCTTTTTTTTTTTTTTACTAGAGCACTTTCCTAAAACGGTTTACAGGGAGAATTGGAATGAGGAGGGTGTATCCAAAATGAAATGGACATTTATACTCTCATTCTACATGTGTGCCCCTCCTCCAATGTTCCACTAATTCTTAATAGCAATAGCACCTGGACTTATATATTGCTTCACAATGTTTTACAACTTTCTCTAAGTAGTCAGCCTCTTGCTCCCAACAATCTGGGTCCTCGTTTTACCAACCTTGGAAAGAGGGAAGGCTGAGTTAACCTTGAGCTGGTCAGGATTGAACTCCTGGCAGTGAGCAGAGTTAGTCTGCAATATAGTGCATTCTAACCATGGTAGGGAGGAAAGAGGGAACTCATAGACCACTTCGCAGTGCTTTCCAGCCCTCTCTAAGCGGTTTACAGAGTCAGCCTCTTGCCCCCAACAATCTGGGTCCTCATTTTACCAACCTCGGAAGGATGGAATGATGAGTCAACCTTGAGCTGGTCAGGATCGAACTCCTGGCAGTGGGGCAGAGTTAGCCTACAATACTGCATTCTAACCACTGTGCATCATGGGNCCCAGGCAGGGGGTTAGACTAGAAGACCTCCAAGGTCCCTTCCAACTCAGCTATTGTATTGTAT